TTATGGTTTACATTTATAAAAGCTAAAATAACCTATTATACTATTATTTTTAAAAAACCAAAAACCTGTGCATCTTGAAGAGAATAAAAAGAGAGAACAGAAATTCATGAGAAAACTCATTTTATGAAAAAGAACAAATAGCAGAAGTATTTGTATTTGGTTGGCATTAGGATGTTACTCAGAAGAAAGCAAAACCTGTAAAATGTAAAGTCAGTTAAAAGCTATTTAACAGTGAGGTCAGATTAAGGACTAATTTGAATTTTCAACCCCTGAGAGTTATCCTTTGGTCTGACCAACACTGAAAACAGGAAGGAACAGACTCAGGTTGCTGTTTGTGGTTAAAACTGACTTCAAGGAGGCTTTGCTTCCGTTGGACTCCATACTCTTCTAGTAGAGAACAGGACTATTGTGTATTTGGGGGAGACTTCAGGACTTGTGAATAGTGTGGGCTATTGCAAAGTGTGTATGCATACCGCTAGCATGTTGCAGTAGTGTCACACTGGACGGGGCTGGCCCCCTCTGCGGGAACTCTCAGCGGCTGTGGAAGGGTGCCCCTCCCCCCCAGGCCCGCTCTGCCTTCCATTGCCAGCGACCCATCACACCGCCCCTCCCCCACCACTCGCCACCCTTGACCACCCTGGGTTCCTTTCACCAGGCTGAAGGCTGGCGACCCTCACTCACCTCGCCGCTCGGAGATCAACGCAGCGTCCATCGGGTAGTTGTGTCTGCACACCGTGTCCGCCTCGGCCCGCGCACGCTCCAGGATGTCCTTCTGTCGGTTCCAGTACTCGGCGATCCGCCGCCCCCACTCGGTGACCGCGCGGTACTCCCCCACGTCGCTGTCGAAGCGCAGTACCTCCTCGCGGTTGAGGATGTATCTGGTCACAAGCCGCACCCGCTGCGTCCCGTTGGTGAAGTAGCACAGGCCCTTAAACTGGTACACTGCATTCTCTGCGGGGAATCACACAGGGCGGCTCAGTGAAGCCTCCGCCCCACAGAACAATGCTCAGCGCCTGTGCCATGGAGGCAGGCAACTGAACGGAATAAATTTGAAACCAAACTGCCACTTCGAGTTCTTGGTCCAACCTGGCCTGCAGCGCCCCCTTTGAACTCTGGCTTATCGCGTGACTCTTCCCAGGCCGGCGGCCGCTCCACCTCCCACCCCTGAGGGTTTCCAGAGCCTCCGGCAGAGAGAGTGAAGAGTGGCGAAAAGAAAGGAAGAAAGCTGATCTCGAGGGGGCAAGCCTTGGCACCTGAGCACTGAGTAAAGGGCAGGGGGTTGATTTCACATTGATTTCTGCGTTTAGAGGAATCATGACCTCACTGGAAATTCCATTTTCCACAGAAGCTCTGGGAACCTCAAAGACAAGTATCCACATAATCAGGACAGCTCAAAGGAATGACAAAGAAAGAAATAGAAATAAGGGTGTCTTCCTCCTGACAAGCATATTCTTTGGTCCTCAGCAAAGGGCCTTTGACTGGGCTTGTAACGGTGGTCCCAGAGAAAGGGGAGGTTCCAAGTCCCCTGCTCCATCCCAATAAAGGGTGGAGCTGAGCAGGAAGCAGAAGCTCGAAAGGAAGGAAGGAGCAAGAAGACTGGAGGAGACACTTGTAGCAGAAAGACCTGTGAAAAAGCCACACTTGCTTTTCAGCCTTGGACTTGTACCAGGGACTTGAGGGAAATGGCAGAGACACAGGTGAGAGACCTGTGGGGAGGCTGACAATGGCAGTGTTTACCTTGACTTGTATTTTGATTTAGCTCATTTCCTTTCAGACATGCTGGGCCCCTTGTACCTCTTTCTTATAGGTCCCCAGCAGAGGGTGCCTTCGACTTGTGGCAGGCTTTTGGGCATCGGTGACCACAGCTTTGAGCCAACCCTGTTTGGCCGGGTATTTACCCACAGGGAGAGGTAACTTTGAGTGTTTAATTGAAAATTTATTTGTTTATTTTTAAAGATTTATTTATTTATGCATACAGAACTGATTTATTTATGCATACAGAACTGGGGTACAGGCCAGAGGTATGTGTGTGTGGTGGGGGGGGGGTGATAAGATTCACCAGAGATATAGTGGGGAGTAGAACAGGCAGATATACTGAAAGACACTGCTGAGGGGTACAGTGGGTGGGTCAGGAGAGGTCTGCTGTGCCATGTGGATCACCTCCCAGGTCGGGATAGAACTCATGCTGTAGTGGCTGCAATAGCTTCATAGCACTGTGCTTTAACCCATTGTGCCACCAGGGAGGGCCCTGAAAATTTTTTTTAAACTATGTTCTTTCTCTTCTCTGCTGCATACTAATTTTATTAAACTTCCTTTCCACTGAAAGTCTTACACACTATAGTATTATTGTCTTTATGCAGTAGATGGCATAACCTATTAGAGGAGGGAGGTTTGGGAGTCTGGGGTACCCTTTACCCTGACTGTTAACAGGTTTATTCTGAATCTCTGAGTAAATCGAGCTCAGGGTCAGGTTTGCTCATTCTTGCATGGGTAGATGGGACCTAAATCTCCAGTGTCCTAGAAGGGAACATTTTATTCAGGGAAAGAGCATAGGCTTTTGAAGTGGAATAAATTTGATTCCAATTGAACTGTGCCTATTACCAGGTTGAGCAAATTAAAAGCTTAAAGTTATAAATGTAATTATGGGAAAAGGTCATAACATCTACCTACACATAGCATGTTAGGAAGATTAAGAATTTTTTAGCTTGTTTTTTTTTTATTTATTTTTAAACTTTTTTTGGCAGTAACATGGGGTTACAACATTGTAAATGATCTAGGGATACAACTTTACACCTCTTTAGATGTATGTTACCCACTATGTTCACCCTCAAAGCATCCATACCCTCTCTACCATAGCCTACTGGGCCCTCTCTCACCTTAGTTCCCCATTCCATCTTCCCTTTTATTAACTGTATTGGTTAGAAATATCAGGGTGAGACCAGAGTCATGGGGGGAGGGAAGAATTCACCAGAGGCAGAGTGAAGAACAGAAAATGTAGATTTATTGAAATACACTGCTAGGAGAAGCAGTGTGCTAAGATTTGAGAAGCTTGAGCCCAAAGGAGAATTTGAGGCTCTCTTTTATACTCTGTTTTCTCAAGCTTTATAACATGATGCTCCAGTTTGCGCCAGTTATCCGCTGGTATGTCTGGCCTTGTCTGGCCTTGGGCACTGTCCTTTGGACACAGAAACATGCTCTGGCCTCTGCTTCTGTATTTCAGAAACTGGGCTGGCTTCTCTGGTACTGGTGGTCAGTTTTATGGCTTTACTCTCAAAGCAGCCTTATAAATTCCCTTACTTATTCAGTTCTACCAAAGCAACCTGCTGGACCAGGAGTGAGGCCTTAGTTTTTAGCCTGATTAAATTGTACCCTGACAATAGCCTCAATTCTGTAGTCATATTGCTAAGATTTGTTTTAGTTGAATTTTGTCTGTTCCTTTGTTTTGTTTCTTTGTTTACATAATCATGTGTTTAAAAGGAATGGTTTCTAAATATATATTATATTCCTTCTTTACATTCTCCTTTTTCCTAAATTCAATCCAACTCAATTTTTTGAATCCCACTCATGTCATTATTTGATAATAAATTAGTGAACTTGACATTAAAACTTCTTTTCTGAGGTTACCCAGTCAGCTTCCCTCAAATACCAAGAATTTACTTCCCAAATCCTCTATTTTAAATTAAAAATGTAAGGTCCTGGGCCTCCCCGGTGTGGTCTATGGGACCACGAAGGCCCACCATGACAGCTTGAGTCAAACCCCGGCCAGGGAGCTGACCCACTTGGTGCAGCAGACCTCTTCTGACCTGCCCACTGCTTCCCTGAGCAGTGTATTTCAGTATATCTACCTGTTCTGCTCCCCACTCTTTCTCTGGTGAATCCTCTCAACCTCCAAACTTCTTGTCTGTACCCCAGTTCTATGCAAAAGTAAATAAATAAAATTCAAACAATAAAAGAATGTGGAGTACTTTTCCTCAGATACTGAGACTGCCAACACCACTGCTGCCCTACATTTCTCCAACCCAGACTACGATAGTATTTAGTCCAGACAAGATTGCTCTAAAATGGCAAATCCTGCTATTTGCTCTGGAAAGATTCATATCTTCAAAAAAAATACCCCCAACTGCATTTTGTCCTGGCACAGGTGGTAGATGCACACTTTGTCTTCTCCCCAGTATAACAGCCCAGCTTAAGGCTATGGGATGAGGACTTTCCTCACAGATAGAGGTTGAGTAGAAAATTTAGAATGGAGTTGTTACAAGACCAGAAAACTGGAGGTGAGGGGAGAAATAATTGCATGGTTTTTAAACCAACCATAGAAATTAAAAATCCTTAGATGCCAACTGCTATAGCTAGTATCAGATGCTATAGAAAGTACCTAGAGGCACAGATTAGAGGTAGGGATAAGGAGATGGAGGGTCATTGCAGAGAATAATCAGTCCTTTCAAATCTACTTAGTCACCACATAAGTAAGTAATTAAACAATAGATAACTATGCCACAAGGGAATAAACGCCTTCCAACAAGAAGAATCCTGTATCAGTACAATTTCTTTTTAAAAAAATATTTATTTATTTATGCATATAAGAACTAGGGTTCAAGCCAGAGGCACAAAAGGTAGAGAATTCACCAGAGACAGTGGGGAGCAGAAAAGGCAGATGGATGAAGTATACTGCTGAGGGGAGCAGCAGGAGAGAGAGGAGAGGTCTGCAGTGACCTCCCTGGCCAGGGATCGAACTTGTGCTGCAGTGGCTGTAGACAGCTTCATAGTGCTGTGCTTTAACCCACTGCACCATCAGGGAGGGCCCTGTATCTGTACAATTTCTGCATTAGCAAAAGGCAGCTCCCATGCCCACTTGTGACAATGCAGGTCCCTCTCTTTTTCTTTCTTCTTTTCCTAATAAACCTGTCCTATGAAAATATAACCTTCATCTTCTGTGTCTGTTCAAATATCTTTGCCTCCTTCATAAACTTCTCCCATGCCACTGAAAGGGGGTTCTGCCAAAACTTTACTCAGAGGTAAGCCAAGGGCCCCACTCACTAAGCCCAACATCTCATCAAAATGACATCACTCACCTCTTCTTCAGAAGGTGGAAATGAGAATCTACATAATTCTTTCCCAAAGAGCAAATATGTGTGATGAAAGACTGTATTCCGAGATCATAAAATCCCCCACCGCTCAAAGCCTTGGGTCCTCAGATCCTGTTCCCAGAGCAGTGGTTCCAGAGAGCAGCCATCCTGCACTTACCTGGAGAGTGCCTGCCCTTGGCCCCTTGGTTGCTCAGCACCAACAGCATCACCAGCACAGCTGCAGTCTGCAGGCCTCCCGGGATCCATAGGGCAGATTTCCCAGACATTACTGAGTCACAAAGGAAGAAGGAATGGTGGTCAGCACAACTAACACTTAATAGAAATGTACCTGCTACAGAGAATAAAAACTTGCAAAAGCTTCATGCACAATGAGATTGGAGGATTCCTAGGAAAGGAACCAATCAGCACTGGCACTTCAGCTTCTCATCTGTCTCTGGGCAGACACACTTTATGAAGGTTCTTAATCCAATGTGTGGTGTCATCATATTTCAGTGAATGAACATTTGAGGTGAAGATTTTCTCTCTTTTACAAAAACTCTAAAGATTTCTTGTTTTTAAAGAGCCAAAAGAGAAAAACGATTCAAAAGTAGACATCTCAGTGATGTTTATTTAAAATCTACTGTTCTTCTGCTTGGGATTTTTTTAAATGGAGGAAATAGAGGATCATATTTCAAGGCAGAAAAAATTATTGTCACAGTTACGTTCAATTGTTTTCTTACTTGCTCAGTGTAAACTGCACTTGTGGTGGGGAGAGTGGCATTCCAAAGAAACAGTTGTGAGCTTCATTTCTATCATTAATGTGCTTTATTGGAAGCCACAAATTGCTGACCCTTTTTTGTTGCCTCAGTCATCTCTTTGTAATAGATGTATTATGTTGTATTCATTCGACATCTAGATCTTCAGATATATGAACCTATGAGTAACTTGGTTAATATTGTAAAATGTTCTTTACCTGTAAGTGTAAATGCTGGGAATATCAGGTTTATATGAACTGTAAGAAAGCAAGTAAAAATTGGTGCCCACTGCTGCTAGCAAGTAAGCCTTCATTGAGCAAGATTCTATGACATTCATGCTTTCTGAATAAAAGAATTTGAAAAATTAAGTTGACTTTTCTTCTATAATCTCATCATCAGCTTAATTCCTTCCTGAGCCATAAAGCAGCTGATATCCACAAATCCACAGTCACTGTGTTCCTACAGCACCTTTAGATATAAGGATAGAGGGAAACAATGTGGAGAAGCACTTCTTGGACCTGAACAGCGTTAATAATAGGTCACAATAACAAATTGTAATGGCAAAAGTATCAATATTTTTAGATTATAGTATTATTTGTCAGTCTTCTTTCATAAGTAAGAACAATATTTAATGGTTATAAGGTAATTAGGACACAGCCTGGCCTAATTCAATAAACAAGACAATAAGTATCTCTCGTCTCTATCTTCTCTCCCTCCCTCTCTCTCTTCCTTGTGTTTTGATTTTTCCTTTTAAAATAAGGATGAGAATAAGGATGTAATAATTCCCAAATGTATTCAAACTATTTTTTCATATGTATATTTATATGGAATATATTTTTATATGTTATATATATATATGATTTATACATATATGTGCATATGCACCCATATGAACATAGCTATGTCTATTAATGTTTCATACATCTTGGAAATAAATGTAAAATCGGTAATCTCTACTGGGTTTACAGCTCCAGTGATCTTGCTATAGCAATTATATTGGTACTCAGTAAGTATGAAGTCACTTGTCAAAAATAGCCATTGGTACATTTTAAAAATGAAAAAGATCTGAAAGCAGAATATAAGGAATTCATCAGGCAAAAAGAAATAAGAGAGAGGCAAAAAGAAAATTCAATCAGTGGCACATGACAGCAGTGAGTTTTTCCTGTAAATAGCACACAGTTCCAGAGCACTCAAGACTGGAGAATTAATCACTGGACTTTCACCCAAGTGGTGTATCAGGGTAACTGCAGGGTAAGTTGGGATTACATGACTGAGGTGAAAGCGTAAAGAAAGAATATCAAACTCAGACTTGGAATAGGGTTGATAGTCAGGAAAGAATAGTCAGAGAGGAAACTTGAAATTAATTAACCTCAATTCCCTCAGTCCCACCTGGGTCCCTCAGAATAAAGAGAGGCCTCTGATCCATGCTGTCCTATGCTCACAAGGAAATCCCCTCAGTTCTGTTTCAGGGCTGTGCAACAGAGACTGCTCAGATGCAGGATTTCCCAGTTAGAGGCCTCTTCTACAGACTTTCCATCTAGCAACAAAAGAGTCATCTTAGAATCCCTTTCTGATTGACTGAAACTTTATCTGAGGTTCTAGTGTGGGTTTCTGCCAACTGCTTCCCCTTCAATAATCCAATCAGCCTCCTCTCACTTTGTAGAGTTCTCTGCACCATTCATATCCTTGCCACATTACTCAGGGCAACCACTGTTGGCCTGGCCTGAGAGAAGGGCAAGACAAACATCCTGATCCAGGACACCTTACCTGAGTACAATGTGAGTGGAATCACTTGCATTCCCTGTTGATAAGTGAAAGTGAGCATTTTCTCATCTACCTGTTGATCCTTTGTAAGTCCTCTTTGGAATCACATCTAGTTAGTCTTTCTGCCCATTTTTTTTTATTATTGGTTTTTCTTCATATTATTGAGTTGTATGAACTCTTGTAGATTTTGGATATCAGACCTTTGTCAAAAGTGTGAAAAGAAAAAAATTTCTCATTCAGTAGAGTCTCTTTTTGTTTTAATTGTAGTTTCTTTCAGAAGTGTTTCAGTTCAATGTACTCTCATTTTTAATTTTGTTTCCTATGCCACTGTAATAAAATAGACATTACAGAAATAAATTTCATGCAGTGTTTTGTAAATTTTATGGTGTCTGATCTTACATCCAAATTTAAATCCATCTTTTTAGTTAGGTTTAATTTTTATCTTGGGGTTACATTTTTCTCCTCCATATGTATACATGTTCCATTCACCCTCCACCAAACCATATATACCAGAGTCCAGAGTGCTGACCATTATACCATGGGGCCCATGGGACAAACCACACATACCAATCAATAACCCATTTTTCTACCTTTCTCATCACCCCCCCTCCTTTGGTTGCTCTGGTAATTTTTAAATTCTTTCAGTAAGTCTAAGATTCATTCCTGTTATATAATGTCTATGAGTGACTTTTAGCTATTAATCTTCTATAAATGAGTGAATCATCCATTATCTGTTTTTAAATTTCCAAAATATTTCACTTTCACTTAATCACTTCAAGATCCATCTATTTTGTTCTAAAAGTCATTATTTCATCTTCCTTCACAGCTGTGTAGTATTCCATTTCATACATATTATACCATTTTTTTTAACCACTCATCTGTTGAAGGGTACTTGGTTCCATGATTTGGCAGTTGTGAGCAGTGTTGATATGAACATAAATATACATAAATATTTTCATAGTAGACATATATGATCTTTCCCAGGACAAGTTGCCACAACCTGTACCTGAAACAGCACCATTGAAAGTCAGAGGGATCTCAGCCAAGAGAGGCCTATTCTTTTATGAGTTTGAACTGAGGGTCAAAACAAATACCAGTTCTTAGTCCACCTCACAGATAGAAAAGATAGTACAGTAATGGAGGCACTGACCCTGTGCCGTGTCAGTACAGTGGAAATGGATATGGAACAACAAGGTAGAGTTTCTCTACTTCCTTCCTGGGGGGGGGGGCTGTGTGTGCATTGATTATAAGGGGTGACATACTGAAAGATGCCATCATAAGAGAAAGAGAAATTAGAAAAGAGAAAGTCTAGAACACAAAACAGCCATGATCTGATGTCCTCAGCCTTTAGCCATGCATGAACTAGTCAGCTTCCAGTATGTCTAGAGCAGAGCATGTCAGAGGCAACTCATCACTTGCCTAGTGGAGGTTAGTCACAGAGTGTTTTGCTGGCAGGGGAACAAGTCCATGCATGTGTTTGAGGAGGTGGGAGTGTCACAGCCAGATCCAGCCACCAGTTGGACTCGACTGTGATGAATCGAAGGGATCACTTTAGCTTTAATTACTATAGGGGTGGACAAATGACAGTAAAAGGGCCCTGCCAGTGCAGTTTATAAGGTTGCAGATTCCATTGCTTAATCCAGACATTATCTCCAGGCTTATAAGGATGTACAGGACCTGTGAGATTAACAGGGAATCATTTCTGTACCCATTGATTTAGTTGACAGAGAATAGTACCCAAAGATCACCCTGTAGGGTTTGAATTGGGAAGAAGTGGGGGTTGGATGTCCATAGAGGATTTTAAAATGGGAAATCCCATCTGTTGGTTAGAACTAGATGGAAATCTGAGTAAGGCCATAGGCAATACCTGGTCCCACTGCAACTGAGTCTCCTGACAAAGTTTTGCTTACTGGTTTTTGAGTGTCTGATTCATTTATTGAACATTTCCTGAAAATTGAGGCCTGTAAGCCATGTGCAGTTTCCATGTATTCACAAACCTCAAGCCACTTGTTGGACAATATCTGCCCCAAATGTATGAGCATTATCAGAACCAATGGAAAAAGAAATTCCGGATCTTGGAATGAGTTCTTTTAAAAGAGCTTTGGCTACTTCACTAGCCATTTCAATCTAGTAAGGATAGGTTTGTGGCTATCCCAAGTATGTGCACATGAAGACCAAGATACACCAGTTTCCTCAGTCTCACAGCCACTCAGTGAACTCCACCTGGATGTCGCTGAATAGGGAGCTTCCCACGTACTGAACTTGTGGGGAAACTTGAAGTTCTTGGTGGATTATTTTGGGCACATACTTCACATCATGCACAGACTGTTCTTGCAATTACTGAGAGCATAGAGATGTAGAAGTGTTGAGAAAGTATTTTTTCCAAAGCCCCATTTCCCATGAGTCTTTTGATGTATGTCTCAGATGAATGCTGTACCCCAGGCTGACAGTATTACAATTTACTCATCCAGAAGCTGCTTCTATTCTCCAGCCCTCAGTGGCCCTGGCTCCATTTCCAGCTATTCTTTTCCTGTTGGGAATAGTGGCAGTGTTAGTCCAGGTAAGAGGCAGGAAGGGCTGGAAGGGCTGGTGCAGCAATAATTGCTGGCAGTAAGGCCCGGGGCTGGTAGCGTGGCTTCCCTGTCTGGGGCTGCTAGCGTGGCTTCCCTGTCTGGGGCTGCTAGCGTGGCTTCCCTGTCTGCCTTCCTATATCACTTAATGACAGAGTCACTTTTTCGATGTCCATGGCAGTGCATGACTGCAACCTGTTTCAGGGCTCACACCACCTAAAG